AGAGTCGTGTGTTATTTCAAACGCAGCCATTTATTCAGACCTAGCCTGTAGGCCTAGATGGATCATTTCTCGTTGCCTACAGATAAAAAAATTCTTGAACTGCGCAAACATGGAATTGTTCAACCATTTGAAATTTCGCCAACAGGAATCCGGCTTGTTGGCGGCACTTCTCCCCTCAGCGGCCGGGTAGAGATCCTAGTGAACGGCCGGTGGGGTACGGTGTGCGACGACTACTGGGATCTGGACGACGCCCGGGTCGTGTGCCGACAGCTAGGCTATCAGAGTGCCGTGAGTGCGGCCACCGACGCCCACTTCGGTGAAGGCACCGGGGACATTCTCTTGGATGACGTGCACTGCACTGGCTACGAGACGGAGCTAGTGAACTGCCCCCATGATGGAGTTGGCAACCACAATTGCGATCATTGGGAGGATGCCGGGGTGGTGTGCTCCAGTGGTAGGAAAACAGGAGTTAAAGGCTTTCTGAAGAACTAATATGGCACAGAAAAGGAAAACTGAGTCCAAGGAAAGGTCTTCCAAAAAACAGAAATAAACCTGAAAGTTTTGAATGTTGGCTGTCTACTCCAATACACGTGAACTTTGGATGTTTTGATTTATTGATCACTCTCTTGCACTTAAATTTACTTAGACATTGCAAGACATCGCAAATTGCTTTAAAGATTGCTAGCAGCCACCCAGGATTTGAAGTGTGGGGGTGGGCTTGCACCAGGATTTACCCCGTAGCAGCTCATGAAGTCCGCTTTGGTCACGAGTGCCACTTATTCAAGGTTCTTTTCTCCATTCAAACTTGTGAAATATGGAGCAGAAGATGATTGTTTTTCTGATATATATTTGTCGAACAGGGGTGACTATCCGCTTGGTGGGGGGCCAGAACCCGAGGGAGGGACGGGTGGAGGTTCTCTACAACTTGGCCTGGGGCACGGTGTGCGACGACTGGTGGGACGATGACGACGCCTGCGTGGTCTGCCGTCAGCTGGGCTTCACCGGTGGCGTGGCCTATCAGGGCTACGGGCACTCGTGGGGAAGCGGCAGCGGGAACATCTGGCTGGATGACGTGGATTGCAGCGGCAGCGAGGCGACCATCTGGGATTGCAGCCACTCGGGGGTCGGCGTGCACAACTGCGCCCATAGCGAGGACGCTGGCGTAAGCTGTTCATCCTCCTAAATGGCGGGGATGACGTGACAGCCTGTCCATTCTCTTGTCCTCCATATTGATAATGGAACCACAGGACCTGATATGCATGACCTGTGAGACTCTCACGAAGAAGTCATTTCGTTTTGAATTAAACGCTCTTGTTTAAAGCTTCACAAGCTTGCAGGCATTAATAGAAAAAATTAAAAATGTGAATGAATAATTGGATATTGCATGCATATATAGGCCTTTAATTGAAATGCACGGTGTGTGAGTTGCTAGATGCTACAGCACATTTTAGGATCACGTGAAATTGGAACCCCATAATGTGCGTCATTTATAGAGACTGGGTCTGAAACCTGTGATACACTTATTCCTACGCTACAACGAAAAATGATTACAATCACAGGCCTTTTGTGTCTTGTTCGACAATTTGAGTGAGTATCCTTGAAATATTATACCATAGGTTTTGCTGAAATTCGACCAATTCTTTGAAAATCACTTGGTACTTCTGAACTTTAGAGAAAATTCAATTTAATCACCATTTTGTAGATTTCCCCCACAGCAGCAGGTTCTAAAATTTGCAAAAAACTGTTTAGTTTACTAATTTAATGAAAACGCTGCAGCAAATTTCTGTTTCATATGCATGTACTTGCCGTTTTCTTTACGTTTATATTATTTTAGCCTTGTCACTCATTTTTATTGTGTGAACCTTTTGATTTTGATAAAAGTGACTCGTATTTGCACGACTGGAAAATTTGTACTTTTGTAGCTAGTTGTGAACATGTGTGAAATGAAAGCTGCTTGTTCTTCAAAAGAATTTATGATTCAGTTTGATGGCAGATCAAATTAGCAATCAGGATTATAACAAAGGTCCTCTTTGCCCTTCTGTCCTTTCCTTCGAAACAATCGAGACTCAAATATATAGTCGTATTTGTGTTGAATTTCATGTTGCCACGCTCAGAGAATATTTAGTGAAATGGCTGAAGACATTTTGTGTTTTAGATCATTTTAATTTTTTGTATTTTTGGAATTATATCTAAATCTAATTGAAATCTGAATGAAACCTGATCTCCCACCTTGCAAACATTTTCAGGCATCATTAGGTTTGAAAACTTGTACACGTCCTGTCCTTTTTTTCAAGTTGAATTGAGATTGGGATTAAAGGATTTGATCGTAGATTGGTCAAAGGTGCATTGCTTTGTGGGTTACCGATGTAGTTTTGTCATGAGGTACAAAACTTGCTACCTGAGCGAAAATCCACCCCTGCTAACTGCGATTCCTTAACGTCACAAACACGTTTGCAGTTGAAATAAAGCGCCGATATTTGTCAACATGACGTCACATATGTACATGCACCCACTAACAAAACGCGCGTGTCTGTAAACGCACGTTTGCGCCTTGTATTCTGTCGTCAAGCCCAGCGAAGTTTCCCACCGATATGGGGATCCTTAGGATCTATGGATTATCCGCCCTGAATTGAAGAAATATGGAAGGGCTGCGTAACTCCGTGATCAGAATATCGACAAGAATCTAACAGCACATCAGTGCTCTGAACTACTTGTTTGCCGAGCTTTCGGTAACTGAGTACTTTCTTCAGGGCGAGCAGATTCAGTTCACAGGTATTTGTTGGCGCACACTGCGCAAGTCTTCCGCGAAGCGGTCACTAAGGCGACACTTGGTCTCTCCGATGTACAGTCAACTACAGCGACGACATGTAATGCTATAAACCACATTACGGCAAATTCGCCCCTCGGTATTGGGAATTTACGCATAGTTGAAAGATTCCACTCATAAAATTCTTTGAAGCCATTTTTCCTTTGTAAAAAATTAAGCTGTTCCAGTAAATAGTCGCTTTTTTAAAAATTACATCTACACAACTAACCACTGTCCAGTACGGATCGGAGCCCGTTTATGCCAATTTGAAATATGCAAAAATATTTTTATTGCGAAGTAACGTAATAGCCTAATTTTGCGAAATCACTCCGGTAAACAAGGGTAGGATGCGTGTGCATTATACCCGGATGCAGGCGCCGTACTCCCCCCGTTAATATCAATAACGAAAGTATACTCTCGCGGACCAGTGGGTCGCACTCAGGCTCCAGCTTGGCGAAGGCGCACCCTTGCAGGTGATTTCCCGTGAACAGTAATCGAGGAAAGCTAAGCATAACATTACGCAAACCCCGACGCGAGCTTCTACTTCTCTCTTGGTTTGAGTTAGGATCACATGTTGTGGTTTTTGGCAGGCATCAGTTTAAGGACCCTACAACTGACGTTTGGCCTATAGTATTACAGATTGTCCAGCAGAAAGAACAAGTCATCGATTGTTGATGCTGCTCTTTCCATATAACTGGAGCAGACGCAGGGGGTGCGTTTGAGTGAGGGGGGTGCGTTCGTCGGAGTGAGCTACTCGTGTTAACACAATACTCCTGAACGTTCGAACCGGGCTGGAGTACGACGCGACCCGCGGGTCAGCGGGGTATAATGCGCATGCATCCGATACTCTTGCTAGTTGGAGAAACCGCGCGAACGTGCCCCAAATGTCCGTAGAGCTATTGCGTTATTTCGCAAAGTTATTGCGTTATTTCGCAATAACAATATTTTTGCATAGTTCAAATTGGCACTGACTTCCGTAGTCCAGGTTCAAAAGAGTCCACTGATTTCCTCATCTGCCCTACTGGCAGCCAGTTTGTGATGCCAGTCGACATGAGGATTCTTTGTCAATAATTTACGGGAAAATGTTTAACAGTGACACATTTTGACGATTTAAAAATTAAAAAATAACACCCAGATCCGTATTGTTGCGTTTAGCGCTTGGAAAATGTAAGGGGAAAAGACAAAGCGGCCTGTGGTCAGAACAAGGGTGCATACACGTTCCAAAACAATTTCTTCTGCTGGAAGCCAAGATTGCAACCAACATTTCGTTTTGTTCAAATCTAAAGCCATGCTCCTGCGTCTCGACTTTAACGACACATTTTAATGACGATAGCAAGCTTCAGTGTGCAAGGGATGTCAAGAAACTCTGGCAAGAGCAGATGTAACTTGTCGGATATGAACTCACTGTGTCGGATGAGACATTACCGTGACCTCGCCGTGCCTGGTGAACGTGGCCCTTATATACGCTTTGATGTGGCCCTTACAAACTTGCGAATAAACTATGCTCATGTTGGTTCAACAGTTCAAAATTTAAGTAATGTACATTCTTCAGGTCTCAGTCCTTTCGGCTTATCAACGCTGCTTCACATACCTACATTCGAACATAGAATTACAAAGGGACGTCATTGGAGTATATACTTAAGTGCTTGTCTGTAGTTGTTTGAGCAGCTGGTTAAATATGCTCAAATCCCCTTCTAACTATTCAGAACATAAACCCGGATCTGAAGTTGTATTATTCAGGCGAAGGAATTCTAAATAACGGAACCCTCAGCGGGAAAGGTGATAACGTGGGGTTTTCCACTCGTCAAGGTCACGACCCGATCTCCCTAAAGAAAACTAAGAGAACTCGAGCAGACGGGAGCCATACCAGGCACAGTCTCCATAGCAACGTTTTACACGATCTTGTACCGAGGGCTAGGGAGAACAAGAATAAATACTCGAAGATCGAATTTAAGTGGGGCTGTGGCGACAGTTGACAGGTTGCACTTGACACCTTCGTTGTGCAGAATTTCTTTCGATTTCGTCCCTGATTTTTTCTTTAGTGTTGAAGCTGAGTGGAGGTCTTTTTCCTGCGTCACTTTTGCCGACGCCAATTCTCCGCTGGAGCTACAATTTCTCTTCAGTTCGCGAACTTCTGTCGTCCTCACAAAATTGTTGTCTTACCGGTCGTGAAACCGTAGGAATTCCAGCGTCACTTGCTTCGCTTCTTAAGGAAAGAAGTCGGCCCCTTCTACCGTCCAAGAAAGCAAGCGTCAGAGGTTCCTTACGTTATCAGCCTCGGACTCGACAAGTGATGAAAACCGTGGCGAAGCGCCTATCTGACCGTTCAACGTCGTCGACGGTACTGCTCGTGGCGATCGCCTGGCTAGCTGTTGGAGCCAGGAGCGCGACGGCAAGGGAAATCAGCCAGGCGAGACATCGACGAGACGACATCGGGGGAAGCGCTGGAACTAGTGGATCGTCAAACGGTACTGTTTGCACCAACTTTTCTTGCTCTGTTTTGCTTTCTAATGTCGAATTTCACTTGCCTTGGGTCTAGTCTGTACAGATCCTGACTGGTATTAAGTGATATTCTCTTTTTTTCTGCTCTGGAAAATTGTTTTGATCTTGTTGCTGTTAGTATTGTTTTCTGTGTTTGTCGCCTCTCTGTTGCAGTTCGTCTGAGTGACGGGGCATCGATCTACGAGGGCCGAGTCGAGGTCTTCGCCAACGGTCAGTGGGGGACCGTGTGCGACGACAACTGGGGCCTAAGCGACGCCAACGTTGTCTGTCGTCAGCTGGGCTACGGGGCGGCCCTGTCGGCGCCCATTCGCGCCGCGTACGGCCAGGGCCAGGGGCCAATTCAACTCGACGATGTGGCCTGCACCGGGTCAGAGAGTTCCATATTCCAATGCTCGCACGGCGGAATACAGCAGCACAATTGCCTGCATTCTGAGGACGCCAGCGTTCAGTGTACAGCCCCAAGTTCCGGAGGTAAACATACTGCTCAATGTCGAAGTATTGGTCGTACAGTTTCTAATAGGTAATAAGAAATTTATTCATCTGATGAGCGAGATACTTTGTCTTGTTTGTGTAGCATAGTGACAGGCGACAGCGAAACGGCTGAAACAGCAGCCGTGATTAATTTTTAATCAACTAGGACTTCTTTTTATGGAAATGTGTGTACATTGCAGAGATGAGGTTAGACCAAGTTACAAAGTTACAAAGCAAATGAAACTCAATCTATTTGCTCCTGTAGGCGACGGACCGACAGTTGCCAAAACAAGCGTTCTCACTGATTTTTCATCTAAGGAAACCATTTGTCTCTGTGATTTCTTTGAAGGTGATGGCAAAGACCACGTGAGGCTGGTCAACGGCCCCAATGCCCACAGCGGCCGCGTTGAGGTCAAACTTCAAGGCGTTTGGGGCACTGTGTGTGACGACATGTGGGACATGAAGGAGGCGGAGGTCGTGTGTCGGTCCCTGGGTTTTCCCGGTGCGAGCTCAGCCTTGGTGAGCTATGGGTCTGGTACGGGCCCCATCCTCCTAGATGACTTAATGTGTACTGGTCAGGAGGCGAAATTGGAGGACTGTCCGCACACGGGTGTGGGAGATCATAACTGCGGTCACTATGAAGATGTAGGCGTAGAATGTTCGACTCAGGCAGGTAGGTAAAAGGATGGTCATTGAGTTGATGGGTTGAGTTGGGTTGGATTGGGTTGGGTTGGGTTGGGTTAAGTAGGGTTGGTTTGGGTTAAGTTGGGTTGGTTTGGGTTAAGTTGGGTTGGGCTGGATTGGGCTTGGTATAGAATTTGGTTAAGCTGCTGAATCTCGATTAGAAATGTTATTTTGCTGAAAATTTCTGTGTCTGTCGTCATTTCTGTCTTGCTGTAAAAATGGGGAGGGGGGATTCTACAAAAAGGGAAGTTTAAGAATTTACCGTGTATGGATGACAAGGTTTTATGGTGGAAGCAGTTCTTACCTTTCTTTTGTTTGTTTTGTATGGTCAGGAAACGACAAATTTTTAATTATGTGCACCTCGTCTTTGTATAGATTAGTTAGGATTTTTTTCTTTTCACCATGCAGCGAATCGGCGAGTCCGAATCTGGCGCATTTTTCACGCCAACATTCGCTCTTGTAATCGATTTCTGACAAAAACGTGGACTTTTCAGATACGACGGTTGAAGTGCGCCTTCAAGGAGGAGAAACGGACTTTGAGGGCCGCTTGGAGATCCGTTTCAACGGTGGGGAGTGGGGCACGGTGTGCGATGATGGCTGGGGACTTGAGGAAGCCCAGGTGACCTGCCGCATGCTGGGGTTCCCCGGGACCGTGGCGGCCCGGTCAAGGGCCTGGTACGGCCAGGGCAGTGGCGACATTTTCCTGGACGACGTCGACTGCGACGGTTCCGAGGAGTCCCTGCTGGACTGCACCTTCACAGATCGGTTCAACCACAATTGCCAACATTCGGAGGACGCCGGCGTGGTGTGCCAACCCGCAGGTAAGAATGAAGAGTTGACTTTATGAAAGGGTGCCCAAAACATTGACGTCACAGGACCTCATCAGTGAAAAACTGTCTAAGTGGTGATATCATAATGTCTCGGTTTTCATCCCTTCTACGAATAAGATACTGACGCACAAGGCATGCAAGGCAATTGTCTAGTTTCGATTTTCTACGTGCTCCCTTTTTTTGCTAGTTCGTCTTGCTGGCGGGGACGTGCCGAACGCAGGCCGGGTAGAGCTGTATCATCTGGGTGCCTGGGGTACGGTCTGCGATGACGAGTGGGACATCGACGACGCCGAAGTCGTCTGCCGTCAGCTGGGCTTCTACGGAGCATTGGCCTCCTTGGGCAGTGCGCGCTTCGGCCCGGGATCCGGGGACATTCTGCTAGATAACCTGGAATGTGTCGGGTTGGAGAGCGACCTGTTCGAGTGTCCTCACTTGGGGGTGGGGAATCACGACTGTCACCATGGGGAAGACGCGGGTGTCGTCTGCAACGTGAACGGTACGATATGACGTACATGCATTAGTAACCTTATACCAAAGATCGTATAGCGCCGCGAAGGATACGATCTTTGGCGCTATACGATCTTTGCCTTATACTCAGTATGCCGTAATATCGCACAGCCACGCACCTGTAAGGAAAACATGTATTCTCTGATTTGATCTGTTCAAAAAAAATGGAAGCAAATTGAACTTTTTGTCTTCTGAGCTCAACTATAACAAGCTCAAAATTTTTTTTTCTGTTCATGCCAAGATACAGAATGTAGATTGTTTCATTGAGAATGGCCACATTCATTGTTTGGCATGCACAAGGGTTTATCCACTACGAACATAGGTGAGGGTAATTCCCCTCGTTTTCTCTGTTTTCTCCTCATTGATGCAATTTACATCTTGGCATGAATGGAATAAAAACCCTTTTAGCTTTTTATAGTTAAGCTCTGAAGACAAATGACTCTGCGTTCAATTTGGATGCTTCCATGGATATTTCTTTGAATAGACGAAATCAGAGAAAACATTTACTCCGTAGAAGTGCTCTTTCATTGAAACTAAGCTGAAATGTAGACAAATTCGCAAGTTAAGCCTTAATTCACAGTTTCTGCCCATTCAAATGAAGCACTGTGTACTTACTGTATCAGTCCTATGGAGGTAATTGTATAATATTTGTTGTTTTGGATGGCCAGTTTGTGTTTGGGAATTTCTTTGTCTTCTTTTTGGGTGGGAAAATTGCGATTTGATGAGATCTGGGTCCTTATAGACACTATGCTGTGTTGTAGGTTGTTAGCCCTTTTCAGCCTGAGTACCATAGAACTCCGTGATTACCATGGGGGACAAACATACTTTTCCAATGTAAATGCCAACAGTGCGTCTTGTGGGCGGGGCATCCAGCCACGAAGGTAGGGTGGAAATCTATAGCGGCGGCAGGTGGGGAACAGTGTGCGATGACGGTTGGTCCCTGAGCGACGCTGCCGTAGTCTGCCGTCAGCTGGGTCTGGGAGATGCCCTGGAGGCAACGATGAACGCCCGCTTCGGTCCCGGCACCGGGGACATCTTACTGGACGACGTGGGCTGCACTGGGAACGAGGACACTCTGATAGACTGCAGCCATCCTCCGATTGGGACCCACAACTGCGGACATTCCGAGGACGCTGGCGTCATATGCCAGGAAGATGGTATGCGATAATATAGTCGGAATGCTTCGGTTCCATGCGATCTCAATCAACGCAGACAAGTAACGATGCCCCCCAACCTTTGTTAAAATCTTCAAATCTTCGGTCACACTTCAATTCAATTCAAAACTAGACACTGCTCCCTTTCAAATAGTGGATAACAACACTGGTGTTTTTAATCCAAGGCAAAGCTGTCCTTAACTGAATTTTTTGCTGTCATTTTGTTTGTGTAAACTGAAGTATATTCGTTGATGGTTTAAAAACTGAATTGTAAGGCACTTTAATTTGCAAATGATAATACATTTGTGAATCCAATCATGTCTTCAGCTTCGATTCGTCTGAGGGGAGGAGACAACAACCGCGAGGGGCGTGTGGAGATCTCAATCCATGGCGTGTGGGGCACCGTCTGTGACAACCTCTGGGACCTTAACGACGCCACGGTGGTGTGCCGCCAGTTGGGCTTTACCGGGGCCGAGTCAGCACCCACGGGTGCCCGCTTCGGCCGGGGGGAGGATCCGGTGTACCTAGATGACGTGCAGTGCACGGGCAGCGAGGCCACACTGATCTCTTGCACCCACGCTGGCATCGGGGAGCACAATTGTGACCACGGGGATGATGCTGGGGTGGTTTGTAGCTCGTCAGGTAGGCGGACTCGTCATTATAATTACGTTCTCCTAGTAACAGCGACACCGGCAAGAATATTATGATGTGTATGAGCCCAGAGCCGGACCAGCAGAGGGCGTAATTTGTCTAGCACCAGAGGCTCCTTTAGTCGGAACCGCACTTCTCTGGTTCACTAACAACAGCCGCGTTATGGCCACGTCGCTACCAGCAAAATGAACACTCCCGACCACCATGGCTCTTTTAAATCGATAAGGGGTGCTAATGTACTGTAGAACATCTACATGTACCTGTATGTGTGCTATCCTGTATAGCACACATTCTAGTACAGCACTGTCACCATCATTTTTCTATCCGCCTGGAGCAGAAGCACCCCCTCATTGGTTGAAAAGAGCCACGCTGGTCAGGAGTGTTCATTTTGCTGGTAGCGACGCGGCCATAACACGTGCATTTCATTGTTGCTTGTCAACCAGCGATGTGCTGTTCCGACCAAAGTTCGCTCGTCGCCCAACGCCCAAACAGGGTGCCGGGAAGGGCTGATAGCTTTGCACTGTGATTGGCTACATTGTGCACGACCTGTGACTGCAAGGTTGTCACTTCCTTTTTTGGGGGGGTCCGCCAATGGCCAGCAATGTTTAAACATGGCGTTGGTACAATCACAGTGTAGTAATTTATCTTCTCACTAAGTATCACTGATCGTGTATCTTTTGGTGATATATTTCAAATCGTTGGTTATCTTGATCGATTTTGGATGAACGAATAAAGTGTAATGAGAAAATTTTCAACAATGAGGAAGAAAAAGAAAAAATATTGAATTGATAACCGCCGCTTGTGTAACGCTTTGAGTGAGAACACGTGCTCGGCAGAAATTTACCCACAATGCTCTGCGTGTCATTAGCTGTGACCTTGTGTGATATATTTCCTTCACTGAAATCTGTGCTGGGCCATTAGCCCTTTCCAGCGCCCTGTTCGAGCACTGGGTGACAAGCAAACGACCATAGGAGCCTCCATTCTAGGAAAAGTGCGCCCTCTCTTGGTCCAGGTCAGGGCTCATAGCAGAATTGAGACCAGTCGCCACTGCAGGAAGAAAAGTGACAAAAATATCTCCGATAATCTGTGAAACTTTTAAATATAAGACTGAGGGAAGAAGTCCGTATATCAGTCTCTATTTCTTTTGGAATAAAATGAATAACTTAAGACTTTTCAATGATCAAGTTGAATTATTTTTCAGAGGCACAAAATAATAATGAAGTTTAAAGAGCCATAGATTTCGTTTCTCTGAATCGGTTTGTTGACTTGATTTTTATAAACTGTGATCCCGTTGGGGTTTGGACGGGATTTCATTGAGTGTGATTGCACGTGCTTGAACACTTTAAACATGCAGGTCCACTCCGTCTCGTCGGTGGGTCTACCCGGAACGAAGGCCGGCTAGAAATCTACCTCGGCGGCCGGTGGGGTACAGTGTGCGACGACTCGTGGGGTCTGCAGGACGCCATCGTGGCGTGCAAGCAACTGGGCTTTCCAGACGCCCTGACGCCCACGGCTGGCGGCTCGTTCGGCAGCGGCACGGGACCCATTCTGCTGGACAACGTGGCCTGTGTTGGCCACGAGAGTTACCTGGTCAACTGCCAGCGTGCCGGAGCCGGCCACATTAACTGCGATCACGATGAAGATGCAGGGGTGGTGTGCTCTCCCTTGAGTAAGACATTTCTCACCAACAATCTCGAAAACATACGAAGATTTCAAGCCTCTCGTTCTGACTGTACTGCTGTTACATGTAATAAGAAACTAGCTTATTAAAGGGTAATTGAAAACTTTTAGTTTACGTGGAGTATTTCAAAATAGCAATAAATACGCAACCATTTCAAAAAGTATCAAAAATTTAATGTTTACCCCGTTAATTGTGACTAGGGGAAAAATGCTCAATTCAGCACGTTATGAACTCGAGATGAGTTACTTCCACGTGCCAAATCATGCATTTTGTATGAAAAGGTCTAGTTTATTTTTTTCAGCCCTGGGTAGTCGGATCAGTTGATTCGATAGAATTATGTGAAACAAACAAGAAAATATAAGCCAAAGCAGTTTATCAGATGGGTTTTCTCATTTTAGGTATGAGGAATTACTTTACTTGCTTCGTGAGGATTTCTTTTATTCTCTTTTCTAAATCAAAGCAACAACATATCCAATCACTGAAAAAGGAAGCTTCTTTCCTCCATAATGTAAGTCTTGTATTTAATAGTGCGTTTCACCAGGCGTTACATCAAACAAACACGAGAATGAATTGTTTGGTACATGCCATATTTTGCCACGTAGTTCGTCTGGTGGGAGGTACGGACTCTAATGAAGGACGCGTGGAGGTGTTCTCCAACGGCCGCTGGGGAACAGTGTGTGATGACGGCTGGGATCTGAACGACGCCACCGTGATCTGCCGGGAACTGGGCTTTCAGGATGCCATCGAGGCCGTGCCGTATGCCGCCTTCGGCCAGGGGACCGGGCTGGACATCTTACTGGATGATGTGGCCTGTCTGGGCGACGAAGAGAGCGTGCTGAAGTGTCAACATAGTGGGCTGGGAAACCATAACTGTGGGCATCATGAGGACGCTGGGGTACGCTGCAGTATGGCGAGTGAGTACAGAAAGTCTTCAGGTATTTTGTGGTTAGCTGCGTGTGGGGAAATAAACTTGAATGACCTGCAAAATTGCATGAACATTGAAAATAGGCTTTCAGGTTCAAACAAAAATCCTTCTTGCTGAGAGGTTGAAGGAAGTCTTATAAGTCTTAAGGTAGATTTTGCACATCGGCTGATAAAATAGTTCACTAGATTGACACAATGGAATTGTCCAATCACTTTAAAATGCTTTTTTTTCTGAATAAAGTATTAAGTAAACGGATCTTTTGGACCACCTGTTAGCATTTTCGTCATCATGACGATTTTTTATTGTATTATTTTTTTACAAATATTTCAATATGTGAAGAAAAAAAATCAAGAAGTAACCTTGGTCTGATATGGGCGTTTCACTATAGTGCACCCCAAGAATTTGCAACCCGTTGACAAATCACAGAGCGCAAAATTTGTCGACCCTTTCCAAACCCGCATGGGGTCGATAGATTTCGCGCACTGTGATTGGTCAACGCATTGCCAACTGTTGGAGGCACACTTTTGTGAAACACCCATATTCTGGGAAACAATTTGACCGATAACTTTCTCTTAGAAAATGATCCAATGATATGACAGTTTTTGAAGGACGTAGGTTAAAACGATGAAGGCGTTGTCGGTTGTTTTCCTGTAGTTCGATTGGTCGGTGGTTCGACACCCAGTGAAGGCCGGGTGGAGGTCTTTGCTAATGGGTACTGGGGGACGGTGTGCGACGACGGGTGGGGACTGACCGATGCCCAGGTGGTCTGTCGTGAGCTTGGGTTCAGCAGCGCCCAGGAGGCTACCACGTCGGCCCGTTTCGGCCAGGGCACGGGAGAGATCCTCCTGGACGATGTGAGCTGCACCGGGAGCGAGGACCGCCTGACAGATTGCACGCATCAGGGCATCGGCGTACACAACTGTAACCACGGGGAAGATGCTGGCGTGGTGTGTGGCGGCGTCACAGGTAGGTGGTCCACCGATCTGTCAACCTCTCATGGACGTGGAAAATTTCAAAGGGAACAAGGAAAGCCTACTTATCTAAATTTTAGCTGCTAAATAAACTAAGGCCTGAGGGTCATTCACAAGATAATTCACAAGTAGTGAAATCAGCTGGTAACTCTGCAACTCGGCTTCATGAAATTGGTCCCAAAGTTTGCTTCACTTTTAAAACGAGATTTGAATATGGGTGGAAAACTATCCTGTATCCTTCTGTCTGTAGTCACCATGGTTTCTGCTCTTTTTGACGTCTGATTCCTCAACAGAATCCATCCGACTGGTCGGTGGTTCTGGCCCCAATGAGGGCCGGGTCGAGGTCTTTCTCAATGGCCGGTGGGGCACGGTGTGTGACGATAACTGGGACATCGTCGACGCGGAAGTGGCCTGCCGCCAGCTGGGCTTCACCGGGGCCGAGCGGGCGGCCAGTAGGGCTGAGTTCGGTGCTGGCACGGGGGACATCTGGCTAGACGACTTGGCGTGCAGCGGAGACGAATCCGTGCTGGCTGCCTGTCCCCACGCCCACAGTCACAACTGCGTCCATAACGAGGATGCAGGTGTCGTCTGCTCATCTGGAGGTATCTACTGCTTACAGGCCTACTTTGAGACTGAAACCATTTCGTGAATAGCAGCCATTGATCTGCTTTTGGATAAATTGACCACACAAGCATGGGCCGTATGACCTATTAACAAAAACAAATGAAGGATTGCATTTGGACACCATAAAACTACAATTCGCCTTGAGCAGAAGCACCCCCCATTCAATTGAAAAGAGCCATGTTGATTAGGCGTGTTCAATTTGTTGGTAGCGACGTGACTGTCAGCATGCATTTCATAGTCGTTCGTAAACCAGTGAAGTGCAGTTCCCACCACATTTAGCCTCCGTGCGCCTTCTCTTGCTCCGGCTCAGGGTTCATTAACTCTCATGTGTGGCATGCACTCGTGTTCACTGGACTGGTCCCTGTCCCTACGCTCGAAGGACATCTGTAAGATGTCTGGAGACTACGTACGGGACAGGAACCAGCCTATGATGTTCAAGCGCATGGTGCACCATGGGCTCAACTATCTACTGAATGTCTACCAAGGCTTTTTTGCAGATAATTCCTGTGAGACAAATGACTTTAATAATCTTGGTCCTTTCTTCCTTTTTTTTCAGGGCAACTCCGTTTGGTGGGCGGTTCAACCTTCAATCAGGGGAGGGTGGAGATCTGGCACGACGGTGAATGGGGGACAATCTGTGACGACGACTGGGACATCAACGATGCTCAGGTAAGCCTAGAAAAAGTACCTCAGATTCGTGAAAATGATATGGATAGTGTGTACAGCAATGCTTATCTAATTACTTTGCCGCTTAAATTTACCAGGATTTTCTTAGAAAGGGATTTGAGTAAGTCACCAAAATCGAAGAAACTATTCGTGCAGTGGCCCTCAAACAAGCTATTGCGTAAATGTGCAAGGAGTCTATGATGCTTTCTCAAATGTCGATAGGAATTTCTGGTTGTGGCTTCGTGTCCGACCTAACTTGCTGACCTTTGACATTTGGGTCAAATGAAAGGTCTCCAGTCTTTGGCTCAACAGGTTGATGATTTCCAAACAAACTCAGGGATAAACCAAAATGTTATAGGTCACACAGGAACCCACAATTTTTATTTGAAGAGGCTGTGGCTTCAATACACGGCTCGTAAAGAAAGTTTTGGCTCATTTTTCACTTTGTTTGTGCTGTCAAAGGTTGTATGCCATCAGCTGGGGTTCTACGAGGCCCAGGCCGCCTCTAGCCAAGCTGGCTACGGTCAGGGCAGTGGGCCCATCATCCTGGACAATGTGCAGTGCCGAGGAGACGAGACGGACATCACGCTGTGTCCACACAACGGTTTTGGGGTCAACAACTGCGGGCACTCGGAAGACGCCGGGGTAGCCTGCGTCGTTGCCAGTAGGTTCATAATGTGTACCATCAACACTGAATATTTGGAGTCAAAGTTGTAGGAATCACATTTCGGCCTTGCCTTTGTTGTATACAGTTCGGCTCCAAGGTAGCAGCAATTCGAGGGAGGGCCGTGTGGAAGTGTTCGACAGTGGGGAGTGGGGCACGGTGTGCGACGACCACTGGGACCTGGATGATGCCCGGGTCGTCTGTCGGCAGCTGGGTTTCCCCAACGTCCAGTCGGCCTGGGGCTCAGCCCACTTCGGGATGGGCACCGGCCGGATCCTCCTGGACGACGTGCAGTGCCTTGGGACGGAGGACTCCCTGGGCGAGTGCCCACACTCCGGGCTTGGAACCCACAACTGCGGTCATCATGAGGACGCCGGCGTGACTTGCAGCTCGAACGGTGAGTGATTTGCGTTGATGAAGGAGACACCAAGCGAGATCTTTGTGTGCCGCACAGCACAACAGCCAAATTAGGGACCTTTTCCTAATCATATACTTTGTGTTTATGGCCACATTAACAGCAATGGTGAAATGCCGTTTTGCGTCCTATATTACCCATCTGTGATAAAATCCCCCCAACACTTGATGCACTGTATGTAATTTAAGAGAAGTGACCATTCTCGAATGGGTCATCAATGTTCACTCATGGATATCAGTATTTATTGATTATTGTAAAAATATTTCGGTGCTCAGGAATCTTGAATATTTTTGGCCAATTTTCACTTTGCGCTGACTGTACGTAGAAAGGGAGCTTGGAATCACTAATACTGACATCAAAGAAGTATCAGCGGAGTTTCAACCAAGAGATCCTGACACCAGGGCAAAATAGAAAGTGGCCATGTCCAATTTATTTGGCTGCGGCTTGAAATTACGCACAAGTTTATCAAAGTGGTCACAGCCAGTTTCCATAGAGTCGTGTGTTATTTCAAGCGCAGCCATTTATTCAGACCTAGCCTGTAGGCCTAGATGGATCATTATATTTTGTTTTCAGTGATTAAAGAAAAATCTTGAACTGCACAAACATGGAATTGTTCAACCACTTGAAATTTCGCCAACAGGAATCCGGCTTGTTGGCGGCACTTCTCCCCTCAGCGGCCGGGTGGAGATCCTGGTGAACGGCCGGTGGGGCACGGTGTGCGACGACTACTGGGATCTGGACAACGCCCGGGTCGTGTGCCGACAGCTAGGCTATCAGAGTGCCGTGAGTGCGACCACCAACGCCCACTTCGGTGAAGGCACCGGGGACATTCTCTTGGATGACGTGCACTGCACTGGCTACGAGACGGAGCTAGTGAGCTGCCCCCATGATGGAGTCGGCAACCACAATTGCGGTCATTGGGAGGATGCCGGAGTGGTGTGCTCCAGTGGTAGGAAAACAGGGGTTAAAGGCTTACTGAAGAAATAATATGGCACAGCAAAGGAAAACTGAGTCCAAGAAAAGGTCTCCCCCCCCCACCAAAAAAAGTCCCAAACTTTTGAATGTTGGCTGACTACTCCAGTGCACGTGGGCTTTGGATGTTTTGATTTATTGATCACTCTCTTGCAATTAAATTTACTAAGACATTGCAAAACATCGAAAAATGCTTTAAAGATTGCCAGCAGCCACCCAGGATTTGAAGTTTTTTGGGGGGTGGGTGAGCTTGCACCAGTATTTACTCCATAGCAGCTCATGAAGTCCATTTTGGTCATGCATGCCGCTTATGCTAGGTTCTTTTCTCCATTTGTACTTCACAAATACTTGTGAAATATCAGCAGAAAACGATTGTTTTTCAATTCATCGAACAGGGGTGACTATCCGCTTGGTGGGGGGTCAGAACCCGAGGGAGGGACGGGTGGAGGTTCTCTACAACTCGGCCTGGGGCACGGTGTGCGATGACTCGTGGGACGATGACGACGCCTCTGTGGTCTGCCGTCAGCTGGGCTTCACCGGTGGCGTGGCCTATCAGGGCTACGGGCACTCGTGGGGAAGCGGCAGTGGGAACATCTGGCTGGATGACGTGACGTGCAGCGGCAGCGAGGCGACCATCTGGGATTGCAGCCACCCGGGGATCGGCGTGCACAACTGCGCCCATAGCGAGGATGCTGGCGTACGCTGTTCATCCTCCTAAATGGCGGGGATGACGTGACAGCCTGTCCATTCTCTTGTCCTCAATATTGATAATGGAACCACAGGACCTGATATGCGTGACCTGGAGACTCTCGCGAAGAAGTCATTTCGTTTTGAATCAAATGCTCTTGTTTCTATCATCACAAACTTGCAGACATTAATAGAAAAAAGTAAAAAACAGTGAATGTGTTGTTGAATGTTGCATGCACATGTAGGCTTATAATTGAAATGTACGGTGTGTGAGTTGCTAGATGCTGCAGCACTTTTAATCACCATTTTGTAGACTTTCGGCAGCAGCAGGTTTTAAAAGTCGAAAAAAAATGTTTAGTTTACTAATTTAATTAAAACGCTGCAGCAAATATCTGTTTCATATGCATGTACTTGCCGTTTTCTTTACGTTTATATTATTTTAGCCTTGTCACTCATGTTTATTGTGTGAACCTTTTGATTTTGATAAAAAGGACTCGTATTTGCACGACTGGAAAATTTGTACTTTTGTAGCTAGTTGTGAACATGTGTGAAATGAAAGCTGCTTGTTCTTCAAAAGAATTTATGATTCAGTTTGATGGCAGATCAAATTAGCAATCATGATTGTAACAAATGTCCTCTTTGCCCTTCTGTCCAATCGAGACTCAAATATTTAGTCGTATTTGTGTTGAATTTCATGTTGCCACGCTCAGAGAATATTTAGTGAAATGGCTGAAGACATTTTGTGTTTCAGATCATTTTAAATCTGTGTATTTTTTAACTAATAAATCAATCTAATTATCTGCAATTGAGTACATGTATATTCATAGCTTAAAGTGCAAGCGCCAGCGAACGGCATAGGCAAAAACGATTGCTCTTGTTGAACTTTTGTAGATACTGAAGGAGCACGTCTATAGTCTTTAACAATTTCTGTGTACTTTGGAAGTATTTTCTTTTCAATATAACCCTTTTAGAACCTATTGTTTGAATTAAACCTGATCTGCCACCGCACAATTTTGTTTTTGCATGATTAGGTTTAAAATTTTGTGCACGTGTCCCTTTTTCAAGTTGTATTGAGACTGAGATTTTAATTAAAGGATTTAATCATAGATTGGTCAATGATGCATCGCTTTTTTTTTTAGTCCCTGCTGACTACGTTTGCTCATTCTCGCTGACGCACCAGAAACTTTGGTGTCTTAAGGCACCTTTCTAGATGCGCCTCAACACTTGCACCAAGCATTGCGTGTCCGTCAAAATCGCTCCCGGGGCGATTTTGACGGCCGAATGCAACACACGCGTGTGTTATGTTAATAAGGTTGTTTTTGTGTCCGTGAATGTGAAACGCGCGCATTGCATACGCAATGCACCCAAAAATTATGGAAAGGCGCCTTTTTGTTTGGTGTCTACGGCTACCTCGTTCGCATGGGTACGATATCTTGCCGCGCCGTGTTGGTTCCATGTAGCCTATGTGTCTGCTATTGACGTCACAGAGACGTTGGCAGTTCAGGGCATAAAACGCGTCGATATTTGTCAACATGACGTCACAGATGTAGTAGCAGGCTTGTCTAATCAATGGCCCCGGAAATGTTAAGTTAAATGCACCCAATCTGGTTCATAAGTGTGACGTCACTTTAGTTTAAACCACGCCCACTGCACATGCAATGCGCACAGGGTTACATGCATTGATCGCCGTTTACATGGAACTATGGAAGTTAATCGGAACCGGAGGTTAACACGCAACTCAGCGATCGTCCAATGGAAGCCTGCAAATCGTGGCGCGTCCGCCTTTGTGACGAAGTCACTTACGAACTGGATAAATGAACGCGTGCGTCTGTAAACGCGGGTTTGCGTCTTGTATTCTGACGTCAAGTCCAGCGATTTTCCAACCGTTTCTACAACACAAACGTGTGGAAATGGTTATATACCATACGTTTTGCGCACAGTGTTGACTTTCAATTCGCTTTTCAAGTGAGAAAGTCTCCATAACGATTGCTGCGGCAAGAGTTGTGTTCATTTTGCGATAATCGTGCGAGAATAGTGCAAATTCATTCATCTTGAGCTCATCGACGACTTGCTCATCTACAACTTCAGTGGAAATGTAAGTGATTTTTCTTTCAACCATTTGACTGGTATTTTTCAATGTCGTTTTCATGCAAATTGTACACAGCATTTCCCTTTTCCCAATAATGTGTTTTCCATTTTCTTAACAAGGAATGAGGCATCTTTTCTTGAGCGTTGACAAGTGTCAAACAAGAAATGATCATGATCAATGATCTTTTGACATCGTTTAATTCAATCACACTTTTATCTCTAAACACTTGGCTCGTTTTTTTATCTCGTAATGTTTAAACGATACCCTTTCACTGAATAAAGCAGATGAAATTAAATTCCAAATCATAGTACATCCATCGTTAAAAAACCTTATGACATTAACGCAGATCACTATGAACCGAAGAACAGATCGATACTTTCGCCGGCCATCAGTGTCTTTAAGTCACCCTTTCAGCAGAGGACAGAGCATGTAAGTTTTCTTTCTTCTTTTTTTTTTCCTTTTTTTTTGTTTTTGTTTTGTTTTGTTTTACAAACAGAACTACATCAAGACCAACTTTACTGACAGTTTTCAGTTCAACGAGCGTCGTCATTAATGTGTGCACCGTGTCTTATTAGATTATGTATGTGGTTGATGTCTTGTCCATTGTCATTGCGTTATCCAATGTCAGTTGTCTTTGTTTTGTTCATTCAGTTCTTCTTAAATTATTATTCAAAGTCACATCTACATAAGATTTGGCTTCCAGAATTTGTCTCCATGTTTGTGCAAGCAATTGTACGTGTATATTTTTGTACATCATATGTAGGCCTTCATTGCATTTGTCCTGTGCAGAAACTAAATAAGAACTGAACTGAATTTAAAATTTATCGAACGTCGAACGCAGAGCATGATTCTACTTCTTTCAAATTCAATCTATAGCAGCGAACTTCCATGCCATGCTTCGTTCACCTTTTCAAGCCTTCGTTCATTTTGTGTTGTTTATGGCAAGCTTATTATCTTTCGTACATCCAATAATGTAACAGGTTCTATCGTGTCATCACGCGGCCGTTGCGCCGTCTCCTCCTCTGTTGTTCCGGCGAGTACGATGAACCGTACCAGCCCCAGCCCAAAGCCCCGTACCTCACTGAGGACCGGCACCATCGACACACAGATGTGGCTCGAACGAGACGAGATGAAACCGGACCAACCAAACGTCTTCCCGGACACCAAGTGTCGCCCTACCCCGAGGCAATGCGTCGTTCTTGTCAGCCACTGGTTAAGGTACATGATTACATCACAGAATTACTGTGGTGTTGTAGAACAGTGATATAATGCAAGTTGGAGAAAGTTGCTGCCGATTTGAAAGGTTTATTTATACATTTTTTTTTCTTTTTACATGCCCCCAAAATATTCCTAGCACGATAATGCGATTTGAATAGGGAAAGATGCGGTTTGCGAGGAAGAACAAAAATGAAAGGAAGGCCTGTTTGGGAAAATGTCCCACAGCTACCGCTGACTTGTGGTTTATTGAGAGTATTTTTCCTGCTTTTGAGGAGTGTCTCATTGGGATTTGTTGTCTTTTTTGTGTTTGTACATTTTTTCCACACAGAATGCAAAGCATCATTTGGGAGCAGACGAGATTACACACCGCGCGCCTCCGTCTGCCAAGACCCGACACCGGAAAGTGCACCGGGAGGTCTGTGTTTCCATCAAGGAGGATGGAGCTCCGGGAACTTCGAAGATTTCAAACAGATTCAAGGACCCAGAGCAAGGTGGGATGATCCCACAGCGACAGGAGCAAACGACTACGCTCCCTGAAGCAGTCAAGAAGCCTAAGAAGAGGTGGGATTTATAGCCCTTTAAGGACCTACGTGGAGGATGGGTCTGCCTCCTCAAATGAAGTCATTTCTAACCATTCTCAACAGTTGCCCAAAGGAAACAAAGACTTTGTCTTTGTTGAGGAACAAAGTTGACTTCCGAACGAGCAATTTTCATCATGGCCGTTTACTTCCATATACATACGTCGTACACTTGAATTAACGCCCACCCTGCCCATTTAGTCTTCTAGTTGGATACTGACAGTGGTGTTTTCTCGGTTTTGTCAACAATCTTGTTTGATACAGCAAAAAAGGTTCAAAGAAAAAAGGAACCTCTGGAAAGAAGAAGAACCAAATACGTCCATTGCCAGCTCTTCCGGTCACCATGGCCACAGAAAGCACCGACAATCAACTGAGAGGACATCTGCCACTAGTGGTCAACGCTAGTGAAACGCTTGCACGCACGCAGAAACAAACCAAGAAGGTAAAACACACCAATGAAATCTTGTGTTTTCATCTCTCCTCATGCACCATTCATTTCATTTTTTACAAGAAGCCTTAATTGAAACTTTACCCAGAACGAACTTCGTCCCTATTATCCTCTTGCTTTTCACAACGAGGAGCTTCTCAAATCTGTTAAAAGGTGAAGTAAACAGCGAAGTATTTTGGTTTTTCCGGGCAGGCCAAGAAAAATTTCACCGAAGAGCGTCGACAACCACCAATGAACATTCCGACTGCCGAGCAGCCCGGGACAATCGATCCGAGAGGAATTAGGCCTTTACCAAAACAGCATCACAGAGAAGATCTCAATAACCAAGCAAAGGTATATAGTCGAATTGTTTTCCTCTTTCTGTACCTTTTAATGCTCTGTTCTAGTGTTATTGGAGCTCGTTGCATGTTTATACCATTGGTCTGAGAAAGATTATCCAGAGTAGACCTAAAGAGTGTCTTTCCAGATTAACAAAGGCTGGGAATTATTCTGAACGATTCAAGTTCGGAATAATAATAGAGTCAGGCATCTGGGAAACATTGCCCACTCATATCACCTGCCAAAAAATGGAGATTAACTTTGAAGAAGTTAAGGTGAAGAAAATTCATTTCTGTTTGTTTTCTCGGTCTAGAAATCAACGAGGGCAGAGAATACTCCGAGAGGAAATCCTATCGTGGTGAAGGTCAAGCCAGCTCCAAAGCAGATTCCGTACTCGCCACGGGCTCCTCGTAGGAAGTGCAAGTCCAAAGATCCTACAGACTTCATCTGCCGGCCGTTACCGGCACTTCCACCGTCAGTTGCGCTCCAGAATGCACGCAACGCAAAACTGATAAATCCGAAACCACCTCTTCAGAACAGCGGTCACGTGCAACAACCCTGGAAGCCTCAGAAGCCTGCCGAACCAGGGAGGATGACTCTCATCCCACTGACCGCCAACGGAGTCACGAGAGAGCTGAAGTGCACCATCTACAGGCCGTCAGACTTTGATGAGGTCACGGTCAATGGACGGCCCGTCAAGCTGGGCCAAGGGACCTTCGGGGAAGTGAGCCTGATGCGGCTCCGCAGCACGCGGTACCCGCTGGTCGCCGTGAAGTTCTGCAAGGCGCATCTGGTGCAGGAGGTGGACGTGTGGCGGGAGGTGTCGGCGATGCTGGCGGTGGAGGACCACTGGGCCTTCCCCAAGCTCCACGGCATCATCAGGAACCAGCGAATCCCGGATCTCCCGGCCATCGCGCTGGAGTTTGTTGGGAACGCCAACTCCCTGATGGGTTTGACTGTCGCGGATGCAATCCGCTCCAAGAAGTACATGCCGTTTAAACACAACTGGGTATGGATTGCAAACGACATCGCGCGGGGGCTCGCCCATCTCCACTCCAAGGGCTACCTGCACTGCGACTTGAAGACCAACAACGCCCTCTTGTGGCATGATCCGAACAGAAACATGTGGCGGGCCAAAATCATCGACCTGGGCCAAGCCCGCAAGAAGAACGAAGCCAAGGGGCCTTTGTCTCTCTCCCTGGTCGAGCAGAGAGAAACCTTCAGCCTCTTTCCGCACGTGCCCCGAGAGGTGATCGCTGGGGAGGGAGGCTACACCGTCGAAGGCGACGTTTTCTCCTTAGGCTACCTGCTACAGGAGGTGGCTAAAGTGAGCTCCCTGAAGAAGCAGATGAAGAAGCTGGGCGAACGCTGCTGTGGAACCAGGCCAAAGTCCCGCCCCTCTTTGGCTCGTGTTGTTCAAGAGCTAACCTCCTTGGCAGTCAACGGTTGTTGAAATATTGGAAGAAAAAGTAACTTTGCAACATTAATAATTATGTCACACTCCAATAAACACGAATTCTTCAACACACGATGGTTTTGATATAAAAGTGCGTGAACTAATAAGAAGACCATTTGGCCAACTTACGTCACTTTAACCAAAGATCTGAAGTATTATAATAAACTTAAACACAGAAGAGCTAGCGGTACCTATTTGTCATTAACATGCAGTTAAGTCAACGCCATTCATTTTAATGAGCTAAATAAGCTTTTCATGGTGGAGATACAAGTAAACTAGAGAGGTTTGCGGTAGCACCATGGATATATCTCTTTTTTGAGTATGTGGGGTTCTGAAAAGAACCGGTGGTACTCAACGTTTCGGACAGTATGCTCCGATCGTCGTCAGGAGACTGTTTAGCGTAACTAAAGAACATTGCACTGATTGTTTATTTATAAGACGGATGAATAAACTATCCTACAAAGTAAGGCATGATGTATCTTCCGAGTTTTAAGAATGAAACTTTGTCTTTTAATTTCTCAAAACCTGAAATGTAAATTTTTTTAAATGCTTGCCATACATTGGAACACAATTATTATGATTAATTAAAAAGAGAATGAAAAATATTAAATTCAAAAGAGAGCAATTGGAACTATCTTCTTTTGGTAGTTGAGCATTGCATTTACGTATTCAATGGAAAAATCACTTTTAAACCATAGAATCCACTTATTTTCAATTTCAGCTAAAATTTAACCGCATTTAAAGTAAATATAAATTGGAATCTAGTATAAAATCTTTTTTGATGAGCATTTTGCCCGAAAAGAATTATTTTCACCTTGACACCATTACACAGGCACTCGACGTTGGTTAATAGTGTTTCTTTCAAAATAACGCTTGCTGGCAAAGGCTGTGAATCTTTCTGAAGAAATCGATTCCAAACTCTGCCATATCAGCCTACATAACTTGGACTTATTTGGAATTAGAATTTTTTTCGTAGACTATGAAAAATCGTAAATAAGACACCCGGTTTTCCAGGAGTCTCAATGCAACCGACTCTTCTTAACCGTTGCTCAGGTTCGTCTTTGAGAGAAGTTTGAATCACATCACTATCAATGGTTCTTTACTTAACTTGAAGCCTATTGATGCAGTGACACCTACAACTCATTTTTGCTTGGATTACATCAATCATCTCTTACTTTTGACGAATTGTTGACGAGAGTCATTACGGTTCCATGTCAGTAGCCAAAGTGTTGGTCATTTTTATCAATTAAAATGCGGGTTTTGTCCTGAATAAATATAGTGAGTCGTCCGCAATGAATTGTCGTACATGTGTCCAAAGTGGATTAAGATAAAATGAACCATCTGCAAGATCCACTTTACTTAAGTACAGACAGATCAAGCTTTTTGTAGGTTAAGGATAGAGAACTGTTTTTCGGAGGAAATTTGCTCCACCTTTTGAGGGGAAAAGCAGAAAAATGTGTTTTTCAGCGCTAGCGCGAATGGTAGCAACTTGCCTGCCACCTGAGGTCGTTTACGAATTTCTGTACACTTACTATGCACCCTTGGCAACGGAAAACGCAGTGAGACTGATCCCAAGAAGCCGCAAGAATAGTCACTGAAATCCCTGTGATTGAGACAGGGTACCAAACATCATACATCCGTGTTAACCGGATCCATGAAGAAAAGGGGCTATTTTGTAACCCGGCAAGAATTCACTTTTCTCCCGTCGAGCAGAAGCCTAATGGTACCCTAAGGTAACCTGTTTTCCTGTGTACACATTTTCTGTGTGAATTATATTTAGCATTTTAGCATGTAGGTCAATCTTTTGAGGCATTTTAGAGCGTAGGGAAGATGGCCTGACACATTTTTAGGCCCTTGTCCCTGGCCCACGTAGCCAGGCGCTAGGCAGCTAGGCCAAGGTAATTTAGCGTCGTAGGCCTAGTACTTCTAACATTACTGTACTACTTCAGACTGTACTTGGTTTTTTCCGCCGGAAAACCTCCAAAAGGAAATATAGCTAGAGGGTTTAGATTTGCAATCGGTTTACATGGTACTTTTATTCTATCTACTTTGAGAACTCTAAGTTATGATTCACAAGCCGAAGCCTGGCATTGTGGCACTCACTTGCAGTGCCGTGAACTGACGAATTTCATCGATCATACATGTAGGGCCTACAATTATGTGCGTAATCAGAAAGCCTGTGAAACCATGAGAAAACATGAGGGGCCTAAGCTGTGGAGTTCAGTGGACATATCCTCGAAAAATATTGCCAGCCTTTCTATCTTCAAGCGTAAATTCAAAAATAAATTGTTACATAATTATCATGTAAATAACTAGAAACTAGGGGCCTAATTATTTTATTTTTTTCTGCGGGGTTACAATACCAACGATATACATGACATATGTTTTGTTACATGGTTAATTGTGTTTAGTTACTTGTGACATGTATTTCATATATGTCTCTACTCAACAAGTGCTTTTTAGAGGCCTCCGTCCACGGCCACGATAGCACTGTATCGTTACTATGAAATGTTTCACATGGATAATAAGGTGAAAGTGAAGAAGACTTGAAGTACATGTACATGTAGGCCTAGACCTACATTCTCGTGATTGGAGGTTGTTCCATTTATTGCACTCACGTCTGGGCAAAGGGGCAACTCTCCATTCACTTTGTACAGGGATTTGCATGTTTTCCTTCTTTTGTGCTGCAACATGATAAGAATAACTGAAACTTTTTTGGTACATTGTAGGAGATATTCTTACCTCATAAATAGTGAAATTTCGGGCATATTCACTGTAAAACTTAAAGAGTTCAGTCAGTAATTCAGATTTTCCCCCTAGTAGACCACAACACTATTTTTGCCCCTTTGAGTCCCGCATGTGAAATATGGAACAGCCATCAACTGACCAATCAGAGAAAAGAACCAAGACTCAGTGATGTCATCCCAACTGTGACAATGTAGGCCTACATTTTGTACTCTTAACAGTAGACCGTCGTGTAAAACTTTGCTTATTAGGCCATCATCTGCATTTGCGCAGTCACCAGATCCTTAATTTTGCCTCTTACTGTCAAGTCAGATTGGTTTTTGTGATATGAGGGACCTAGTAGCTATACCGTCATGAACGTTACATGTTGAAGAAATGGAGGAAGGAACGTAGTTGACAATTCCTTACTCCATGCCATGGTTGAAACTATCATTGGGAGAAATGTGACCCATTGGGACAAAATGAGAATAAAGTTGCATTCTGCTCTTTCCTATTTTGAGGGTTCGAAGTCAGATATTGAAGTGGAGGTCAATTTTTGGGTTTTGTAATATTTGGAAAGAGTAGCCTGTCTATTTAATTCCAAATTTTGGCAGGTACAGATATTTAAAAAAAGATTAAGTTTCTTATTATTCGTGCCCGGTCAGAAATGTTGAAACAGTGTCAGAAACAAAGATGCAAAGCTGCCAGAATGACGTCTTGTCACCATACTTTTATCCAAAGTGTTCCATGTACAACATTGGAAAGCTCCCTTTTTGCTGAATTCAAACACACCAATTTCTCATTTTTTTAAAATTCCCACTTTTAGCTCATTTTGTGGTGACAGGCCACAAATAATCAAATGATCAAAAACTTTAACCAGATGCCCCCCTCATCAGAGTAGCACACCCAGACCTTTCAAAAATATTAATAATTTTTGTAAATTTCTATTGCTAATCCGCCTACTAGAACATGTATGATGGTGAAGCAAACAAAATGTTTTATTTATGTAGTAAGGTGGCATTAAATTTGTGTTGGTTAGATGAATTGTTGGATAAATCTTTGATGAAGCAACCCAAGCGTTGATGGTCATGAACTCTGGAAAACAAATCGCCAGTTGCCACATGTCATGCACATTAAGATTGGAGTTACTTGAGGCAGATAAATTTTTTATTCACGAAATCGAGTTCTGTACAGTTTCAGTCAATAACTGAATAAATCAACCACAACAAAGTACTTAATAAAAATGTGTTTGGGAAGACTTCATATATAAGCTTTTTTATGCCTTTTTTTACGTAAAAAGCAAACATGCACATAAACAGATCATGTTTTCCAACTTTTATTTCAGTTAATTGAGAATTTTTATTTTTCTCCCCCAAGGTATTTAGAAACTTGGCAAAAACGTTCTGTGCCTCATCCAACCATCAGAAGATCACCCAATCACCATGGGGTGCGGCGGCTCAAGGTCCATGCAGGTACCCTCAGGACCCTCGGATTATAAATACATCGTCCAGCAAACTTGGGAGAATGTGGGCAAAACACTTGAAAGGGGTTCGTCCAGAAAGAAGCTGGTCATCAAACGGTCTGGGTGGAAGACGGTGCGTGTCTTTGTGTCGTCGACATTCAAGGATTTCCACGCCGAGAGAGAAATACTTGTCAAAGAGGTGAGTTTAATTACATGTACCCAAACACAAGCCGCTTGGCACAGCAATGGACTGTGACTGCTTTGAAACAGATTCTTGGATTGCACTGCTGAGAAAGAACTTCGGGCATTTTGACTTCCTTGTGAAGGTTTAAAATATTCTTCTTATTTCAAATTTCATCTGACCCATTTGATGACTGTAAATTCTAAGCAGTAGAGACAGCAAGCCTACATCTTGATCAAATCTGTACAATCGGCACTTTTCTGCTTTTGCCAAAGTTAGTGAATGCATCAAATTCATAAACTTTTCTGCATGAGATGATTGTAAAAGTTCAGCAAAGTGAATGCCATGTTTCAGAAAAAAGTGTGAGAAATCCAGCTGAATTGCTCACCTTAAAACTCAGTTTATGAATCTGCTTGACATCACTTTATGAGTGCGAAGTTCAAATATTGAGTTATCTTATTTCTATATAATATCTTTGATTTTTTATGGTACTTTGTTGGGCAGGTGTTTCCTGACTTGAGGCAGTGGTGTGAGAAGCGACGACTTCATCTCGTTGAGTGTGATTTACGATGGGTATGTTTATTCATTGGTTTGAATTTCTTGCCGATGCGCATGCTTACAGTTTCAAGGCATAACCCTAACAGCCCTGCTACAAAGTACTACTTAGTAGTAAAATGTAGTAATCAGTGCTGTCGCTTGTAAGAGGACATGACCTTATTTTTCTCTGAAGCCATAAAATACAGTAGATAAGACAATGTACCATACAATGCTATGGCACTATGAATGCACGGCTTACTGTTCTCTGTACGAGTAGCAGTGGAGGGTGCCCCAGCTAAAAGTAGTCATTTGTAGGGCTAGGTCCTCCATGCTCAGACTACGGCTTAGTATAGGTGGATCCCAATACGACGCTTTTAGCGTCGATCTGCGCACTTCCTTGTTTGAAAACGAGGCTGTATGTGTCAGCTTCAATTCTTAATACGATCAGACGATTGAAAGTAAGGAGTCTAGACACAAAATACATAAAGGTATGTTAAATTCAGACTTTTCAGGCTGCAAATTTTTGTGGAAGAGTCTTTCAGGATAACTCGACGCGTAAAATCAAAAGAAAAAATAACGACAATTGACTGCGAACTAACGTATCTGCGATGGTCCTGTATCTTGTGCAGTGGGCGTGGTTTAAACTGAAGTGGCGTCATACTTACAAAGCGGATACTCCATGTACTGTGTGGACTCCGCGGGCACGCGCAACAAAGTTCAACACTGAGAGCCTCGGTTTCGATGCAGATATGCGCAGACAGGCAAATTTTATGCAGAACTGTTAGGGTTAATGCACACTTTCTGCCCTAAGCGCCGTATTCTTACAGTGGTCATTGTTGATTTGGTAATCTGAGACTCTAGAGCCATAAAGTTGGGTCTGCAGTGGCTACAAAATGGCACCATATTGAGTAGATTTACGTCTCAGAACCACACATACTCATAAAAGAGAATATTGTACATGGTGTAACCGCAAAAATCCTTAACTAAACGTAGTTTTTCCATGCTTTGGGGGCATGGCACCCCGAAAAACTAGATTTTCTAATTGAATTTACAATTTGTCTAGGTTTGCATTTGTTATGAGCTTTCCAACAAGAAATCTCTCAAAAAAATTGGTCTTCAATAAGCATTAATGTAATTAAGTCCAATTTTATTCAAATTAGAAGGCAGATGGGAGCTTCCTTATCACTTTTTGAATAATAATGCCAGTACAAGACATTGTGAGTGTTTGTACGCACTATATACATGTACATGTATGGTGTAGAAAGCGACCAATCATATGCCACCACTCACGTACGCATCACATAGATAGGACTGGACAAGTTGAATAATGCATGATGGGTAATTACAAAAGTAATGTACTAGCTGTCCATGTTCCTAGATATGAATAGTAACGGAGATTTAATGCTGAACTTTTTGAGCTGTTGAGGGCTTTGCACAGTACTTAAGGGTATTGTTTGAACTGCAGACAATGCAGTCATGAACAGGCAACTTTATTCATTGCAGGAAGTCATTGCTTTAAAATTTGCTCGGAAAACAACAGCAATATTTAAAAAACAAGCATGGACAATACAGCTTCAAATGGAGGATTCGGTCCTCCTTTCCACAAATTAAAAATCTGTGAGTCAGCAGCCATCCCTGTGTAAAGTAAAAAACGAAGAAATTCCCAACTATCAAGCATTCTAGGAAATTTGGATAATTGTAACATTTTTCCTTCAGCGGCATATTATTTGATGAATAGAAAGTTATGCTGCCTTAAGATGTAATATTTGTACAGATTAATTGAACATCATTCTGTAATTCGACTTTAGTTTTAGTAAGTTTTTTAAGTTAATGGCCCTCACAACCACTACAGCATTAATTAGTGAGCTTGCAAACCAATTGTTTTATCATTTGACTAATTCACTGTCGTTTTTTGTACACTTACAGTGTACAGGATAACTCCTGGCACTTGAAGGGGTACCATAAATAGCTCTTTGAGCCATTGTGTCCACAAACATTCCAACTGCATAACCCTTGACTAAGTCAACTGGTGTGCTTTGGACTGAAGAGTGATTGTTTGACTGTAGGCCAGCAGGTCTCACTCCCACTACAGTTTCTATTGTTTGCTACTTCTCATGCGCTCTGGTTTGACCTTGGCAACGGCGTGTACGCATTTATTAGTTGCCCTAGCAACCTATGGTGGGTCATGTGGTGCTGTTCCCTGTGCATGCTTGTACAAATATTGCCCCTTTCCTTGCTTGTATTTGGGGACGTGGTTCTCAATTTCCTTCAAAGGTTTTAAATATTGCAAATTATCCATTTTAAATTTTAGTATTCTCCTAAAAAAATCACTTAAACTGAAGAAGAAATTACCTAGAAGAATAAAAATTTGACTTTATTTTTCGATTACATTTAGAAAGCTTATTTGTGTTAAATGTTAATTGAAAATGTTTAATTGGACTTGTTTTCACTGTCATGAACATAATCTCCACCTTTGATCTTGTAATGTTCTAACATTACAGGGTTCCTTGGAAAGGTGCTTGTAGGGGTGTTTTTCTCTGGAGTCATTTTGTTTTTTCTTCTACTGTTGAATTTAATACATATGCAAATGAGGTGCTCAAAAAAATTTGGCTTTTTCTTGGTTTTGTCCATTTTTTGGCCTATTTTCATAATTGATATGTTTCATTTTTTTACATGAATTTCTATTTATCAGATGATTTGCAGTGTCTCTAACTTAACTTGTGATTACAAGTGAGAGATTTCCATGTATAATCTTACTAAGTCACACACAGTGCTGTGCTCGTGTGCAGGCCACACAAACAGATTCAAAGCTCCTCTGTATCCAAAGAGAGTTTTTCAGAGAGAGCCTGTGCTGCAGTTTTCAGAATGTCTCACTAGTCTTGTTCTCAATCTTGGTCACAATGCTACATCATGATCTTGTTTCCATTCCCAACTGTTTCCCATTCTGAGGCAGGCAAAAGGGGTAAAGTCTGCGTGTTTCAAGTCAGAAAAGGTTGAGTCCGACTGAATATAATCGTGGCCTAAATTCGAAAAAAGTTTCCTGGTCAGATCTGAGCTACAGGTATCTTCCCCAAATTTTGTCCTTCTATAAACAGGGTGTTCCCAAAGACACGTCGTCTGAGGAAACCTTGCGTCTGTGCCTGGGAGAGATCGATCGGTGTTACCAAGACAACATCATGCCCTTCTTCCTGAACCTGACAAGGTATGGAAGTGTCATGTTCTCCCGGTGTAGGTACCTTCTCAGTTTGGAAACTGCAGAACATCAGAGTTCTGAAGGTCATGGAAAATCCTGGGGAAAATGTCCTGGAAAGACATGGAAAAGTTGTGCAAAATTGAAAAAAAGGGTGTGTTGGAGTTATGGAATTCAAAATCACGCAAGGGTTATTGTTGACGGGCCGCTTTTGATGTGAAAGGGAATAATGCTAAATTTACAGCCTAAATCATCATCCATCCACAGTTTGGGTTAAGTACGGCAGTATTTCAGTTTAGAATACCAAATAACGTTTCTCTGCAAAATAGCATAAAATATCAAGGAAATTCGGTCCTTGAAATCATGGAATTTCTATGGGAACCCTGCGTTGGGTTAATATAACTTTCTGATCTGGTGCCTGCCCTTCCTCGCAATGTCAACAATACCAGCAGTGGTCAGGGTATCTGCTGTCTTTAAATGATAACTTTTATAACTTTCATTATTGCTATTACCGAAAATGGGTCACTTGGGAGACAATTTTTGCCAATTTTTCCTGGCATTTGTTTTTCATTCAAGAGAAGGGCATAGGAGGTGAATATGTTGGAAAGAAAGGTGAAAGTATTTGTGATTTTTAACCAAGTTGTGATGTTCCTCTAGTGAGCGTTGCGGTTGGATCCCAACACCATATGACGTCCCTGAGTCGTTGGCTAAGGAGTATCGCTGGATACCAGGACTGTCTGTCACCGAAATGGAAATCCTACACGGGGCCTACCGCATTGACAATCCCAACTGTAAGCATTTCATACTTTTTGAAATAGCCTGAGTGCCAGCCCACGTCATTTCCAACATTTTGTCTGCGTTGTCTCACAGTGTGAAGCCATTGTTGAAAGCGAAGGCTTTTCTTACCCTGTGCAGTTTTGGCATCTTTCTCTCTCACAACCACTGCACTTTTTAAATCACCCCCAAACCAGCGGTGAGATATGTCAGATTTTTTCTGATTTCAGTGTATATTTCATTAGGATTTTATTGATTTCAGGATTTTTTAACAATCTCTTTTAGAATCTGGAAAATCCTGAGTTTATCATCAAGATGTTTTTTACTTGTAAAAGTTGATGTAGAACACAAGGAATGGATATTTGAAGGATTGTCTGTGGGCAAATACAAATGTACACCATAGGTCCTACGCGGCCGTGGGGCCCTCCAAACCTCTGGTGATTCTTTCATGGATATTTCTCTTTCTTCCAATCTCACTCCCGACTTCATTTGAAATGTATTCACACGAACCTCGTTTGAACTCAGCATAAAAGTCAGGAATTTTTTTTCCCTGTTCTTATTTGACTGTCGTCCACGCAGCGCTGTTCATGATCCGGAATTCCTCCTTCTTGAAGAACCTCCCCCCGGAATATGAGAAGGACTTCGTCGATCCCAACCCCATCGCTCCTCATAAGCTGGAGATGCTGAAACAGATGCTGAAGAGCAAGTTGGTAAGCAACAGCTAAGCACAGAAAAATACTGGCTTCAAAGTGGGTTACTAACCAAACTTTCGTTCAATCTGTACCCCCGTACCTCCTCTGAATGTTTCTCTGCTAATTTTTGCCAAGCGCATAAATCCATTGAGCAGTTTTGTGCTTTGCTGCTCTGTGAAAATGAGTCGTGAAATCTGCTTAGCACAAACTGTAACGGCTTCAGTAAACACAAAGTACTGCTTAACATTTAGCCGAAAGTTGTGCTTACTATAGCAGAAAATGTTGCTAACTGCAAGCTCTATTTGGTGGCGTTACATGCTAATTGTTGCTTGTGTGCAGAGATTTCAATTTTTAGCACATTTTTAAGAGGTAGGCTAGCCTTGTGCTGTGCTCACTGTGCTCACGTGAAACATACGGAGCCTTTGTTACCATAAATTTGCGTGCTTAGCAGTGCCATGTTATTTGGCCCAGACGATGTGTATTGCTTGTGGTTTCCGGCAGACTTTTGCTTACTGGATAAAAAGTGGTAACAGCATTTTCCTGCTAGGCAGAGCTGTGGCATTAAGCCTAATTGCTTGCTCAGCCCTGTTGGGAGATATGGCTTGACATGACTCTAAAAGCTTACAGAAAGCCCCCTGGGTAAAAGTACACTACAGCTCCGTCACATTTGGTTGGTCTTTTGGAACCTTTGATGATGTACCCTACGTCACGAACATGGTCATACATGCCATCATGTGTGGAGTGTTAAATGCCTACGGGAATGCACCGTGGTCTTGTTCAGACTTCCAATTGTTGTCTTTTTCTTTCCTCTAATATCCAGCGTGATCGAGTGAAGTGGTACGACTGTGAGTTTGCTGGAATTGACGAGGACGGCAAGGCAGAATTCAGCGGGCTGAATGACGTCTTTTCCAAGGAGGTTTGTCGTTCGTCCAGTGCCTGGGGTCGCCAAGTTTTACAAAAACAAACCTATCAAATCACTCCCAACCTCAAATCAAATCTTTGACGCTGTTATTTTTTCTGCCTTTTAATAAAATCCAGACATCAGAATGCACTCTGAAATGCCGGTTTCATACGTCACAAGGAACAGGACTTTGACTTTTCAAATTTTCTGTGCCTGAGACATCACCAGGTTTTTCTGTTGCGATGTGAAGGTTTTTTGATAGAGGAAGGAGCGTAGAGTAGTTTCCAGTAGCGTCATGGTGGAAATATCTCGTGTGAGTTGGTGAGGGACTCATCAAGTAAAGTTCTGGTGTTATTGCTTCCATTCTGTGGTTTAGGTGTTTGAGTTCTTCAAGCGGCGTATCGAAGCCCAGTATCCATTGGTGGATGCCAGCCAAGATCCCTACCAACAGGCTAAGGAGGCCCATGAGGTGAGCACTGCATTGTATGACTTCCAGTCAGCCTCAATCTCTCTAGAAATGAAAGATCTTTTAACCTCCACTGTCAGTCCTGGCGTTAGCAATGAACTTGGCCTCAATTATGGCTTTGTTTTTTTTTGGCAGTCCTTCCTGAAGAGTCGGGGCCAGTCCGTCCTGGGCCGCAATGCCATCCTGGAGAAGATCGAACAGTACGTCATCGACCTAGGTCAGGACAAAGCACTGACCATCACGGGCGGTGCAGGCACTGGCAAGTCCTCCATCATGGCCCGCACGGCTGACGTGGCGCAGACCATGGCTGTGAATAAGAAGATCCCCGGGTGAGTGTGTGTGGGGACAATATTATAGACTGTGTGCTGAGGCAATAGAGGGCGCTATGTAAACTTTAATGAGAAGAGCCCATAAAGGAAACTGCATGGCCATGCTCGAATCAACAAATAGTCACAAGGCCTGTGACAAGAACAGTCACAAGACCAGTCGTAAGACCAGTCACATGACCAGTCACAAGACCAGTCACAAAACCTGTCACAAGACCAGTCACAAGTAACAGTGTGAACAATGACAAAGGATTGCATTTTGTTGCAGTTCATTTGAATACCTTGTGACTTAGACTGGGATCTTGTGTTGGTCTTGTGATAGTCTTGTAGGCATTTGCTCCCTGGTCCACTTTGTTATAATTCACACATGCTACTCTGCATGAGATGAAAGATGGCTGCCAGTAGTTTTCCAGTAATGGCAAAGCCCCAAAAATGGCTTCCTGAGTAAAGACTATGTCCATTATTAGCATATATCCATACATTCACAACCAGTTAAAACACAGACCTTGCTCTAGATGCAAGACATTGGACAGGGACCATTTCTAATTTTTTTGTATCATTGGGGGGCATTTTTATTGTTTTCTGAGTGCTTACTACACTTGGAGAGATGTTTTAGAGTCATTTTATTACTATTTGCTGATCTTCGTAAATGTTAACCTAGAGATGTCAGAAATCTCCTTTCATGTTTTTCAATGATCCAAGCTCCATCGTAAATGCAGTACTGTTGCAATCTTTGCTCTGCAGTGGCGGAGAGCATGGCTGGCACGTCTTCTACCATTTTGTTGGCGCTGTGCCAGGTTCGACGGACTTAGAGAAGTGCCTAAAAAGACTCCTGAAGGAGCTGAATCAAGTCAACGTAAGCACAAGCACTAGATGTCATCGTACTTCTTACACCATGAAAAAATAGGTCCTGCTCTGTGATCCTGACTAGACAGAAGTGTTTTAGAAGTGTTTTAGAATCAAATTGAAAAAGCTATTGTTGTTCACCATTAAATCATTCGATATGTCTTTGTCATTTCCAAAATCTGACTTATCCATTTGGATTTATTCAAATTCAGGTTCATCCTCTCAAAATTGTCGAAACCATGGTGTTACAGAAAAACAGGACATAACTGATATGTGTCTTTTGTGCAGGAAGCAACGATGCCTAAGAACCTAGAGGCAGCATGTCAGCTGGTATGCAGCGTCCTGAGTAACCCAAAGACCGCACCCGTCATTGTATGCATCGATGCTCTCAACCAGGTACCTACCAACAAACTATGTGAAAGAAAACACAGGCAACTCGGGATGCCTATCCATGCGCATGTTTTCAGTGCACTTTTTGTCCATATGAATGAGTTGGCCTAATTTCCATTTGAATGGCACTGCTTAGCACATGATTTCATGCTTACAGAGGATCCGGGCATTTCATGGAGATCGTAAGCATTAAGCACAGCCAAAGGCAAGCTAACCTTAGAGGAAAGATTTGCTTAACCCCTTTACACCGGTAGACATCTACAGCCGCGGCTTTGTGTGAGGATTAGTGCGAACCACACATACATTCTATTCATCATGCACTTGCGGTTTCAATGTGGGCCTGCTGCTAGACAGAGCTTTGTATACTGGGCATACCACAGCCCAGCAGTCACGGTCAAAAGAATCTCGGCATTAAGGGGTTAAACTTAGTGACTTAACAGAAATCTCTATGCATGGGCAACCTTTCGTACAACCGTGCCAGGCACCGCCATGAAATAGTGCTTTAGGGTTAGCAAATTTGTCCGCTGAAGTTAGCAAGACTTTTCTACTCTAAACTGATAAGCAGTTCCATGAGATGGGGCCCAGGACTGAATCCTGAGAAAAGAATGCAAATACTGAAAGGACCAATAAATGGAAGAGCCCATTTCTTGGTGCCAAACACATTAGGCTGTTTTACTCCATTCCATTTTGTCTTCTCCCTTCAATAGTTTGACGACGACAAATCCTCCACCCTCCTCAGCTGGTTGCCACGGAAACTGGCCCCCCAGGTGAGGGTGATTCTGGCCATGATCAACGACACTCCCCCGCACAAGTCACTGATGGAACGACCCAACAAACCGCAGGAGATTGTTGTCACCCCACTGGATATGGAAGCCAGAAAGGTAGGATACCAGACCCGTGAAGTTTTCTAATAAGCCTACGTACTGACGAAGTGACACTGTGTTTACATGTTGCCATGGAGCCAGTGGGGGCCCACGGTCCATTAAGCATCATAGGAAGGCACACATGTACACAAAGTGTGTTATCATCAGTACGGAAATCTTTTACATGAACTGTGCTGATCATAGACATTTGTTGGGACAGCTCGCCTGCACACCATCAGGAGACTGTTTGTGAGGAGGGAAATGCTGATTTCAAGAAGCATTTTTATTTCTCACTCCTTAGAATTTTTTCTCTCTCACTATAGAGGCTTTGCGTGGTAGCCATCTTGCACGGCAGTTCTTTTGTTCCACGGGGAACCTCCTTTGTGCATACCCTATAAAACAGAAGCATTAGCCTGCAAGGTGGCAGCCATGGAAACCCTCTATTGTTTTCTGTCTGTTGCAGGAGATCGTGACGGAGCTATTAGGGACCTACAACAAACGTCTGGATGCTGCACAGATGGAGAGCCTGCTGGCAAAGGAGTCTTCTCAGAATCCTCTGTGGTTGGCTGTGGCCTGTGAGGAGCTACGTGTGTTTGGCCTCTTTGATCGCCTGACAGACAAAATCAACAACATGGCCGACGGACTGCTGGAGTGAGTTTCAAACATCTCCCGTCCCAGCTTGATGGACAATCAAATTTATAGAGAAGCACCTTTATCAGAGTTGTAATTTAGTACTTCTGGAGTACTCTTTGACCATTAACTTTTGTCGCAAGCACAGTGAAAGAAACCTTGATTGTAGACAGAAAGTAAAGTTAGTGTTAAAAGAATAGATAAATAAACGTGTAGAGTTTGGATATATGAAAGACTTTTTGGATAAAGTTTGCGACTAAAGTACTTGAAAAGTACTTGCGAAGTACTTTTTAAATTTTTGTTTTAACAACGTAGTACTTGAAAGAGTCTGATTTTTAAGGTTTAAAGTTTGCTTTGAGAAATATTTTACTGTCCAGTGCCTAAATTTATGCCGTTTTATCTACTTCAAACCATCATTATAACTGGCAGTCAACTTGGTACTTTGGAAGCACTCAACCGCGCCCCTGACAATTGCTTTGATTCATCACGTGGCTTCAAGCCAACATCCTCCCCCAGCTTGTCCTGAAAATTTGAAGTCTAGGCTAGACGTCGATTTCGTTTGCAGGTTGCTGGAGCAAGTGTTCACACGCTTTGAGCAGGAGAATGGGGGCACGTTGCTATCGGCAACACTCTGCCTTCTGGAGACCTCAGCAACCGGTCTGCTGGAGACGGAACTGCTGAAGATCCTCGGGGATGAGGATAACCTCCTGCCTCGGGAGAAGGACTCGGAGACCGGCAAAGGTAGGCGAGGCAATGTCCATCATCTGCCTCATTGACCTGGGTGTGGATTCGTGTGGCCGAGTGGTTGGGATTTGAAATGCATGAAAATAGGGTCGGGGGTTCAAACTCAGCTATTGGTTACATGTCTTGACCTTGGGCATATCACTTTACTCTCACTTGCCCCTCGCCACTCAGGAGTAGAAATAGACACCCGTGAGGGGAGAGAAGGCTGTTGCATTTGATGAGCCATTTGCCCCTGAAATGGCACCAGCATGGAACTGCACCCCCCCCCCATGGAGTTTAGATGGTTTTAGGAATGTTTGTGGCCTGGTGAGCTGGGTTAACTAGTACTGAGCACCTTGTATCCTGTGGTAATTTGACATTATATAAATACAATCTTGATTTTGACATTTCCTTTTTCAGATTGTATCCAAATGTTATTAGTAGAGTTTGTTCTAGGTCCTCATCACAAGTTGTGAATATGCAAGTGTGTGCTGACATAAGACATAGCCATAGCCTTTTCAAGAATTGAAATGTTTCCCCACAGACAAAGGAGCAGAAAAGAAGGCTAAAGATGTGGGACCTCTTCCGGCGGCCAAGTGGGCCGTAGTCTTCCGTGCTCTCAAACCTTTCCTGCGACCGTTTGGGGAGAGCGGGGAGGGTAGGCTGGACTTCTATCACAGGGCACTCAGCAAAGCCGTCCGCAAAAAGTAAGTGCATTTTGAATGTCTGGACCTTAAACCTGGTTACCTCCCTTAACCCATGCTAAACCCCAGCTCTAGCCCCTCCCACGAAGAGTGTGTTTGAATGATTTGAATGTCCCAGATCTTAAGCCCATATCCCATTCCTAAACCTGAAACCCCTCATCCAGCCCTTGCCTTAACCTTGTCCACAAAAAGTGTGTTTTCAATGTTAGATTTTAACCCCCAACACAGCCTTTCACCCAATCCCTGACCCTTACTCAAACCGAACCTTAAACCTGAACCGTGCACCATTAAGGAAGCTGATGTCATTTGTACGGACAAATCGTCTGCAAGGGGATCCCTTTTTTTGCAAATTGACAGGTACTTCTCCAGTGAAAGTGACTCCCCCGTTTCGGATCAGCTATGGTGGCACCGGAAGCTGGCCCATTACTTTGATGAGTCCGATCACGTAGACCGCAAAGTGGAGGTATTTCATCTTTTAAAATTTATTCCACGGGACAGTTACAAATTTTAGCCCTGAAAACAAATTTCTTGCACTTTCCTGATGATAGAATTGGACAATGCAACGTCGGGTCCCATCCAAGAAAGACAGAAGTCTTAGGCAAATTGGAATTTGGGTTCCTGGGTAGGGACACAGCTTATGCACACGTAGGTTTATACACACTTGGCACCATCTGTTCTGAATACGCCTAACCCTTATCTTTCAGAAAAATAGTCTTCAAATGTGCCCCGGGCACCTGGTCAAAACAGCTCCCACCAACCTTTCCCCTTTTCGTCACACGAGGGAGCACTTCTGCACAGACCTGATAACAGCAAGTCTCCCAACTTCTCAGTGTTTTTGTACGCATTCCTCAAAAGCCACATTTACAGTTTGTAATTACCGGCCGACTTCGTTTCTTGGCCCGAAAACAGGAGTTGCCAATTCACCTTCTGAAGCTTGGAGACACTCAGCGTCTGACGGCGTTCCTCACCAACTGGGACGTTTTTGACCGACTGTACAATGAAGACTATAGCACCCTCCTCCTCAAGTACTGGCGAGAGGTAAGTCAAGCGATCCACACGACATGTTTGCATTCAGTCAACCGAAAAAAAGACCTTATTCAAAGACTGTTTGAAGACAGCATGGATACATGTGTGAAAAGAATCCAGAATGAATATCACAAACTCCAAAAACCAGAACAGCTTGGTCTTTTTGTGACGTCTGTAATGCCTGTCCCTTTTTGGTGGCATTTTTGCCAGGGTCATGGTCAGGGATGGCAGACAATGATGGGTAATAACTACCGGGAGAACTTAGAGAAGCTAGCTGCCGACGACGGCACGTCCAAGGAGGTGCTGGCCAAGCGCTACGAGCAGATCTCCAGGGTCATGTGAGTGATTTCCCAGGGTTGTTGTGGTCATGTCAGCGTCTATAACATCAAGCACAGGTCCAAGTTATGGGAAGAAAGTGGCTCTGTCCAAATCGGATGGCTGCGGCTAGAGTTAGTACACATTGCTATGATAAAAAGCCACTTTGAAGCTACCATTGGGAGCCACTTCTTATGTACATTGTGTTACTGCTAGTCAAAGCCAGTTGATTCAAACATAGCCGTTAACAGTTGTAAAAGACAGAGCAACTTGTAATTCCAACACTCTTATGAGATTAGTTGCTACAATGCAGGAGCGGTAAAAAGTTTCTCTTGAGCCAGGGTCAAAGCCAAGTCCAGACCAAAAAGGCGACTTCTCAAAGTTTGCAGAATAGTTGGAGAATCCTGAATGCGACTTCTCCAAACTATCAAACCGTTCAATCTGACTTCAATGTGGTGCTTATTTTTCATTGTTTAGTAACCAATCAGGTGAGCATGGTGCTGCTATCACCTTGCTGGAGACGGCCATGGAGCTGGAGGAGGAGTTGGGCTCCAGACCAGAACGAATGGTGGAGCTCTATGCACTGGCGTGCACTGTCTACGATGATGTGAGTTGAACCGATTCACTCTAGTTTCCTGTTTCATTTTTACTTTTGTCTGCCTGTGAAACCGACAGCTCCATAAAAAGCGAAAAAAAAATTCATTGAATCCCATGAACTGCTCTTCAGTTTGGGACCTCGAAGGGAAAGCTTGAAATATTAATTTTTTTTTAAGTCGGAGAATCAGTGAGAGACTTGGCCACACCCAGTCCACTTGTAGGCATTGGTTGAATTTCAACCCACATTGCACAACCGCTGCACCAGGAGGACAGTTTAGAAAAGCTGATTTTCGCAGGCAAAACTCCAGCTTTTTAGAGACACACTTGAGTTGAGAACTCTGGTGAAGATTGATGATTTTTCTTTGGAATATAAGTTTTCTTTACACCAGGAATGTTGAGGTTCCCACTGCAAAGTGCAAACCAAGAATGCTAATTTAAAATTTGGCACCTGAATTGAATTGTTTTCAGTAGAGGTCTTGGTTTTGTTCTGGATATCCTTTAGAAACTGAAGTTGTATGAATACGTGGATCCGTCCCAACTTCGTGATCTGCGGCCGGTCATTAGCTTCGCGCACAAATCCATCGCAATCAGGGAAACTCTGGAGGGCCCTGTTCACAAGGTCAGTTATCATGTGGGGTTATTTAAGCCAACTGTTTGCATGGTAAGTTGTGTGAAAAAAAGCCTGAGTGTTCTTCTGCGAAGGACATGATAATTACATTAGTGTGTACTAATTATTTTCTCCATTAGATTGTTATAGAAACAAGACATGGATTATCATGTGTAAGTTTTTTGAATTAACACTGAATTTTCTTGCACATAGTCTGACCAAGCGCATCCGCTTTTGTTCAGAAAAATGAAAGAGACAGTTGGAAAAATGTTGACAAATAACTTACCCGGTGGTTGTCTCAAGCAGTTCGGTGGTCCCCAGCATCATAATCAATTTCACAAGAACCTTCAAGATTCCAGTCTCAAGACCAGTGACAGATAACAAAGTGCCAAAAGAACGCTCTTGTCACAGGTCGTCGGGACAGCAACTGAGTGGAAAATACTGCATGGTTCCGTGATGGACTCTACGGTAACAAAGTTAAGTTGGTGTCATCTTTGTAGTAAACTTGGTTTCCTTTTCTTTGCATCGGATAATCTGCAGTACAAACTGGGTAGGATCAAGATTCAGCTGGCTTTCAACCTGCAGTCCTGGGTGGAGTGTGGGGCAGACAACACTTTAAGCGTGGAGGAGGCCGCCGATGAAGGAAGGCAGCAGATCGAGAGCGCAATTGAGATCTTCAAGGAGGTAAAAAAAAACAAGAAAATTGCCGACTGCTGGGTTCCCAGTGTCACACAGCCGCAAAAGAGAAAACAAAAATTGCTAGTGATGTTGTGAGCTGAGTGAAAACTCCAGATGGGGACTGGTTGTTATTGGTTTGAACTGTGTGACATTGGGGCTAGGAACCTGGTTTCTTGTTGAGCAAATAGTCAGCGCTTAGCAGATTTTGGTGTCCAGAAGCTTGGTTAAATTTAGCCGTAGGATATCGACATGGCCGTCCGAGTAATTAATTGGCAACTGATAATACAGGCAGACATACACAAGAAAACACTTGTTGGTCAACACTTGTTATGCCACTGGCATTTCAGACAAAGGGCCAAGCTGGATATTGCATTTACTGAAACTCAGCATTACGATAGCAATCTTCCTTCCTCAGAAGCATCCACTGTACAGGAAACCAATCCTGCTAATGGCACAAATCTCCAAGGTGCCTCGTGGTTCATGAAGTAGTTTCCACTAAGCCCTCTCTCCCTTAATCCTGTAAAATCCTCCAACATCCTCCAAACAGATTTTAAAGGAACTTGCGAGCCTGACCTGCTGAAGATTGTGTGACATTTATCTTACCGCAGCTTGACGATATCGGTCACCTCGCGGATGCCATCATGACAAAGGGCGTATTGGAAGAGCGAGGCAGCGAAGAGCAGAAAAAGGTAGCAGATCAGCAAACATTCCTGGCTTCTCTCATGAACCGTATTCTTACATTATCTCTGCACATGTATCCCATGACTCATACTGAATGAAGAAGCTCGGCCAAGCATTTAAACTTTTGGCACTTATATATACCGTAGAGTTCTACTAAAAATTAGTCGCATCTGTTTACGTCAGACAAACCTGCATGTGCATGTGATCTTGTGTCAGCCACTAAGTACATCATTGCTGAGTGACAATTCACCCCTTCTCCTCTCAAATACAGCTGATTATG